TGTTGCTATTAAACTGCTTTGTGGGTGAATTAAATTTTGCCAATTACATTTTTGTAATTGGCAATTCCCAGTGTCCCCAGTCTAGACTAAAATCTTCAATCAATTATACCCATTCTAGTCCTAGACTTGCTGATTTCTATATCCTATCCCAGACTAAAATGCTTGAAACTATACCCTTCACAGAAGCACATACCTATGTTACCCATATACGGAATTAACCCCACCCCTGGAAAGACATATATCATTTTGTAGGAATGCCAAAAAGGAATCTTAAAATGGCATTATGATATGTTATATTGAAGGTGGTGAGAGACAAAGTCAAGAAGTTTGCACAGCTGGCAGCCTCTGGTTTACGAGCAGAGTAAGCGTTGCTTTTTGTTTGTGTTTCTTAAACAAGTGCCTGGAAAACATTAGACAAACAAACAAGTGACTGTTTTAAGTAATGCTATTCCACCTTTCCTATATTTACTTTGAAACAAAGGTTGAAATTGAGAAGTTATTCTTTGCGATTTCTTATGAAGTTATAACCATTTTCTCTTTTCTTTAAATCATTTCTAAGCCCCTGGTAAAGACCTGTTTTTTTTAGAATGGGAATTGACTTACTATGTTTATTTTTTTCTCTCACTAGTGGTAAACCATGTCCACCTTTCAAGTTGGTCATTTTAGATGAGGCAGATTCCATGACACCTAGTGCACAGGTTGGATATGAGTGTTAATTTGCTGGTTTGTTGTCAAGTTTTATCTAAAAAAACATTAACTAGAAATGAGTAACTAAGGTTTTCATTAAGAAGTCAAGTCGCAGGAGAAGGAGGATATTCTGAAAGAAGCTCCCATCCAAATAAAAAAATGAAAGATTGTTAGCTGGAGAAATGTGCGTATTAAACGGAGAATTCTCCGATCTCCGATGCCTGATGAACACCCTGAATAATAGGTAAATGTTGTACTCTCACCTTAAAGTAGACACTTTCATTTAGAAATTATTGAAGCACATTATGAGAAGCAATTTTAGTACAGCCAATATTGTTACTATACTTGCTTATATAGTGTTAAGTCAAGGATTGGTTGCGTCCGTATTTGTTTACAAGAATTTATATTTGATTGTCGTATTAGGCAGCCTTGAGAAGAACTATGGAGAAACAGACAAAGTCAACAAGATTTTGCCTCATTTGTAACTACGTTAGTAGGTATGTGCACAGGCTTTTAATTTGTTGATTTATTACAGACAGTGGAACCTTATTTTTGGGCCATTTCTGTCTAAAAAAACAAATGTAAAATTAATATTGTAATTTGTTTGTCTACGAAGCACTTAAGAGTTCTTAAACACTTGTTTAAACGTGTCTAGGCATTTCTGATCGCATTGGAACTTTGAAGTGAGGAAAGGGAAAAACCCAAGTACCTGGGATTCAGGCAAGCAATGAGATTGCAAACGAAGCTCTGTGGCTGGAAAGCCTTTCCATTTGATTGGGAATGTTTGTGGATGGAAAGTGCCCTTGGTGTCAGGTTTGAGAATTGCCACAGAAAGCGTCTAGCAGTCTTTTGGTCCAAAATGGGAGTACATTGACAAAACTGGAGTTGTTGACCATCTCATCAGACAAACTGAACATGTTGTGGCCCAGTTTTACCCTTGGTTCAAACATGTATTACTTGTTCTTTTCTTGACGCTTGTCATACATTACCATGACCCAAAACAAGTCAAGCTCAAATTTGGAACCAAAACATACACTCCTACCAGTGTCCTGCAAGCATTTTGTGACCTTCTATCAGCTTTGCTCTCATGTTGCTTTCTCTCTTCTCTCCACCACCCCACTTGATACTTCTCTCAACCTTAACTAATCCAATTTTTATATTTAACTTAAAAATCTCATCCTATAATCCCATTTTTTTTTTCTTCTTCACAGAATTATTGAACCCTTGACTTCCCGTTGTTCTAAGTTTCGTTTTAAGCCTCTGTCTACAGAAACACTCGAGAAAAGGCTAAACATGATCTGTAAAGAAGAAAATGTGAATTGTGATAACAAGGTATGGAAAGATGGTCTGTTCTGAAAATGGTTGAAAATAAGTACGGGTGTTTCAACAATTCAGCCACTCAAATTAGAAGGTTACATTTTGATTTAAGTTCATGTAGTTTTATTTTATTTTTATACAGGCAATTCATGAACTGATAAAAATTTCAGAAGGAGACATGCGGAAGGTGTGTAAGACTAGAGATAGTAGATTAGTTGGGATCAGTTTTTTTTAAATTGGTAATATTATTGTTGTTGAAACCTTCATTTTCTTGAGAAGTACATAAATAAGTTATTGCAACAAATGACCTACAGCCTTGTCCCTGGGACCAGTATCATATTATTCATGTCCCTCCTTTGTTCAAATGCACACATGTCTTGGAATTAAAATTTTCCAAGGGGATTTTTGAGGCGCCTATTTTTTATATATAATGGGTGAAATTTGCAATTCAGTTTTGGCTTTGGAGGGAACTTTGTGTCAGCACTAATTTTTTTTACTGTCAGATCATTGTTTATGTTGTAGGTCATACCTTAGTTGAAGAAAAGGGAGGGGGGGAGCTTATTGTGCAGAACTGATTCTTCCTCAACCTCAACCATTTTCTAATCCAATTGATTGGATGTACCAGCCTCTACACGTTTGTTCCTGGCTTCCTATCGTTACGCTTCTTTTTTATTATCATGATTTTGTATTTTTTTGAAGGCCATAACATACTTACAGAGTGCTTACAGACTGAAAGGAGAGGACATTATTGAGGCTCGTGACATCACTGAAATAGCTGGGGTATGATACTACAGTTGTCAATATTATTGAGACCCTCTTAGAGGGGGGGTGGGGGTATGTATGTCCCTAATCTGAATTTCAAATTTGGTTGTTTCCATTTTGAGGAGCAGGCCATGTCCCTGTTGGTATTTAACCCATCTTTATGTTGTTTGTCGCCATTTCATCTATTCCTTTGTCACAGTTTTAAGGCCATTAATTATTTTTTTAGCCTAACAGGGCCTCATTATTACATTATTTTAGAACTACACAACCCAGAGTTCAGTTATTTTTTAATCTGCTCATGGGCACACAAGGAAAGTTAATTGGTAGAGGTGTGCAGCTGAGGCCTTCACAGTCTGGCCCTGCTTAAGATTACAGACCTTATTTTACGACCCTGATTCATTTCGTTTTGAATACAGAATTGAGTAATTTTTCAAACTAAAAACGTGGAATTAGATTTTGTGAACAAAATTGTTGGTACCATGAATGTAGACCTCTTGTTGCCAACCTTCACACTCTTTGAAGGTTACTGGTCTAGAAAGACACGTTATTCNACCATGAATTTAGACTCTTGTGTCCCAACCTTCACTCTCTTTTAAGGTTAATGGTTTAGAAAGACAAGTTATTCAAGACGATAAATGGGGAAATTGTATACCCTGAAAAGGATTAACCCTGTTCAGCGGAACATGCCTGTTAAGGGCAATAATTGATCGCCCCCCCCCCCAAAAAAAAAAAAAACCGGAGTCATTTCCACTATAACCACTATCCAGAGTTGTTTAACAGTAGAAGGACTTCAAATCTCTGATGCCATTGTCTGAAGCTTCTTGCTGACACTTTTGCTCATCCAATGAACTTTCAGGTTGTTCCTGATGATATGGCTGACAAACTTTTTGCAGCCTGTGGTTCTGATTCTTTCGAAAAGCTGGACTCCACAGTGAAAGTGAGTATTGTTATGATTGTTGTGCTGCATCATGCCTGTCTTCTTTTGTGTTTGCAAAGAAGCAAGAGAGATGGGAGCAGTCCAAGAATGTTCATTAGTAGGGTTCAAACTTGTACTTGCTGTTGAAACTGTCAACAACCTTAGGCATGCATAGTGCATTACGTTAAGCACATGTTTTCAACTGGAGAGCTTATGTTGACCTGTATTCTTAGACAGTTGGAAGAGTGTTAAAAACAAAGTGTTCTGGGCCTTAAAAGTATCTTTACAGATAATTGTTGCACTTCCTTAATGTTTTCCTTATAAAAAAGGCCCTTACAATGTAAGTGTGAAACTTGATTGGTAACAATAATAGTCAGCTTCAAGAAAGTTGTCAGAAATTACTTAGGCCCGGTTTAGACGCCGCTCCACTCATGTGCCGAACCTAACTGATGAATTAAGTACAGCAAAAGAGCGGTGTCTGAATCAATTTGGTGCGGCAGTTTTAGTTTGGTGCAGCAAAAGCGTAGAATTCAACAGAGTCTGTCGAACTTTTGTCGAACTTAACTTAGGCTCGACACAGGGTGCGCCGTCTGAATCAGATGTCGCGCAAGTGTCGCTCCAAAGACGAACTTATTCAATTAGGTTCGGCACATGAAAAGTACGGCGTCTGAACCAGGCCTTAACGATGATACCAATGATCTTCCACCATCTTGAACATTGAAACTGACAGAGAGTTGGAGCGAGTCTAAAGCCTTATGGCTGCCTGGGCTGCAGGCTAGTAATTACTATGAGAATTAATATTTTTGTCCAGATTGGGTGTGTTGTGGGAAACCCTGGACTCTCACCATGGTTCTGCCACTCAATGCCATGGACCAATCCCCTAACTACTATGCATTATGCTGACATTCAAGCTTACTGTTCACATGTTAAAATGTATTGTAAGAGGGCACGTCTGTTGTCCTCCCATACACGACTCTTCATTCTTTCATTCAGTGGGGCAGCATGAGCAAGATGATTAAATGTTATAGCAATTTGGAAACAAACCGTTTTCTTGGCTCAGCTACTAAGATATGTTCTCTTGAAATCATATCAACAGGAAATCATTGCCGAAGGACACGCTGCAGCTCAAATAATAAATCAGGTATAGCATGGCCTAGAATAAATTATTATTTTAACTGTGTATATTTCATTGAATAAGAAAATTAAAAACGTGGTTATTAAATTATCCTTTTTGCATGCGGCTGACCTAGAGTTTTTTCTCCGCCCAAATAATACCTCTTGTTACTACAAATGTATATTTATGAGTAAGACACAGATTTGATGGAACCTAAACCCATATATATGTGCTTATTTTAGGCATCTCACTAATGAACAGTTATATTCAGATTTTCCAGCAACAGCAATTGTGGCCTCAGTGTCCCTTTCAAATTTATTGAGTTTTTTGTGGTAGTTGTCTAAAGAATTTCTTATGTCCTCCATTTCTAAACAGACAATTATCTTAGTGTTTGTTTGTTTGTTTTTGTTTTTAGGTTCATGACAGAATTGTTGAAATGAGCGAATTGAATGACCATCAAAAATCTGCGATATTGGAAAAATTAGCTGTAAGATATTGACTTGTACTTTGCTTAAATCTCTTTTCTGCACAAGAAGCAAATACAAGTGAACATTAATCCTTTAAACCCCAATATCCAAATACAAATTCTTTAGACTGATTCCATACTTTTCCTTAGAGAATTGATTAAGACAATTTGTTTGTAGATGATAGCTCTGCCCATCATCAATGGTGTTTTTTTTCCCATATTATAATCACGATTTTTGCCAAATTCGCCTTTTTCGCCAAATTCACCATATTCGTCAAAATCGCCATTTTCTAAGGGGCCCCCTTTGCCACTTCATTTGAATTTTTCCCCAATTTTGGGGAAAACTTGGCCATATTCGTCGAAATCGCCATTTGCCATGGGGCCCCTTTGCCATCTCATTTGATTTTTTGCTATGAGTTTAAAATTAGCTAAAACTTTAATTTGGCAATTTTTTTTCCAGATTCGACAGAGTTTCTTCAAAATTGCCCCTTTTACCACCGCATTTGAATATTCACCAAAGTTTCACGAATTTTCGCCAAATGTGCCATTTTCGCACACAGCGTGCAGTTCTGGACATATCCTTAAGCCAAGCAAACACAGACCATGCTTTGCTGTTCGGCAACTGTCGCTTCAACAATCAACTGGCAGGTTGATGTCTCTCTGTTCTTTTTGTTTTTTGGTTTTTTTTAGATTGTCGACAAATGTCTGTGCGACGGTGCGGATGAGTACTTGCAAGTGCTTAGCCTGTGCTCAGTTATGATGCAACAATTCTGTCATGCCGGACAAACATGAACAGTTTGGTATCAAGAGACTGAATATGGAGCAAGACAGCGTCACGCGAACAATGATAAATAAAAATTACTTTTTAGGTCTTATTTGCATAGCGTATTCTTGGTAATAAACAGAACATACACTAACAGCTCCGATTTTATGATTTTGCCTACGCTACCCAGAGATGTTTTCGACATGTCCCAGGGACACCCAAAGACGGTTTCCTCTTAAATACGTTAAAAACACTTTCTAGGCTATCCAGGGTACTTTTAGATGTCTAGAGATGCATTCTAAGCGGCGCTAAAGAATTTGTATCTGTTCGGTCATCTTAGGGGAACTTGAGTCTTTTCGAAATTCAAAGGGCCTCGGTATTATTTTCCCGAAAATTTTAGAGGCAATTTAACGTATTACGAAAGTGATAATCTTTCTTATTTCTCTCTCCATCCTATTTTTGAATTGGAAAAGTTTTAGGTTTCCTTTTTTGTACGAAAATTAGCCTAACCTAGGGAGTGAAATGTGAAAAATTAAACTTCAGAAAAACGTAGGGAATTTATTGGATAAGCTTCGGAAATTGTGCATTAATGGAACGGCCATCTAGAAATTTTTAGCCGTCCTCAAGTAATAAAAAAATCTAGGTAATATCTGCTTCTCCGAACAGATATTTACAGAAAACAGTCGTTGAGTGCCCCTGATGTCCCCTAACAGAAGTTGGAAGATTAGTAATTGACAGAAACTGTTTCCGTTGTGCGGTCAAGGATGCAACGTCCTATGAGGATAAGCAGTTAAAGTACTGTTTACCCAGAAATACACACACACACTCAAGGGTAGATACAGGGCGTACAGGGTCCTGTAGGTCACCAAGGACCTCAAATGCCCGTTTAAGACAAAACTGCAATCAACAAATCAGTGCACGCCTAAAGGGGCTGTGTTGGCCCGTAAAGCAGGCGTATTTTGCTGTGCGATCGATATGGACTTTCGACTGACCGAGAGTTGGGGCGAGTCAAAAATTGATTCCAAGGGAGAGGTTGACGTGTAAAAATAGGGGAGAGGGAGAGGAGGAAAGGAGTTTTTTTCCTTTTTTCCCCGCCCCTTCCCCCTTGCCTGCCCCTCCTCCATTTACCTTTGGTCGCGCTTTTGAAAAATAACGCCTGTTCGGCAGGCTAGGCTTTGTCAGTGTCAAGGCTGTCTGTTTCATTTTTTCAAATTGCCAATTGTGCGTCCGTGTTCGCTACGGAACGTAACGATAGTGAAGAAACTGATAAATAACAAGATCACAGCTTCGTGCCAAACAAAATTTGTCTCCCAAGTATTATATCAAAATGTTACAAACAACAAAAATGAACTTTGAAAAAACAGTTAGGCTAACAAGTTTTCAAAAACTTCAGTTGCAATCCGTTTCAATCTTCTTTGAGTTTTTCCATCCGTTCCTCCTTTTATATTTACTGTATTATTTATACCTTCCTTTCATGTTTTGAGCTGTTATTTTTATCTTTCACTCAGTTTGGTGGCGGTTAGCCCCGTTTAAATTTTGTTGAATTTCATTACACACCTCTTTAATTATAAAAACCGCTATCACCAAAAGAAAAACAACAAACAAACAAAGCTTGTAAAGAAATTGAGTGCGACACTGCCGGGTTCGAAAACCCCCAAAAACGTCCACTTATTTTAGCGGACAAAAAAGAACGTATACCCAACCTGCTAAAACAGCTTCAGTGCCAAAAAAGAAAACTGTGGTTTTTTAGGTGTCCTCGCCACTCCTTCTTTTTTCAAACTATGTTTACATCGTGTGCTGTTACTTCTTTTGCGTTGCAGATAAATAAATTAAACAGCTTCTTATGGTTAGGTATGAATTGTTAAGGCCGTAGACATTTTTCGGAAAATCACGCGATGTTGGCTGTGGAGTAAACACGAACAAAATTACGTACAGTAGTTATATGCCACATCCGTTATTCATTTTAAAATTTACACTTTCCGATCCTGTTCGTGCAAATGTGACAAAACTAGGTCAAGAATTCGGTGCGATCAGCAAGCAATTCAACTTTCTTTGCAAAGGACAAAGCTTGTTCGCGAATCCTCTTAAGTCGATTTAAGAGCGTATTACAAACCTTATAAATTATATGCTCCTCCCTGGATTAAAAAAATCCGACAAATTAAAGTGGGAGACTGCAAAGCGTCATTAAAAATTAAGGAAAATCCTATTGGTACCCTCACTGTTATTTTGTGTTGCATTTGGCCCCAACTAACAGGGTGTCACCGAGCACCCACGAAAAGGTCTATTATCATCTGATGTCATTTGAAATTCTGGCCAAATTAGACGACTAAACATTTTCTCTACTTAGTTTTCATTTACGCGCTAATGGAAAATTCAAGCTGAACTTGTGGTTTTTGTCACAGTTTGAAGCTAATAACTGCGGCGGGAAGCCTTGTGACTGTTTTGCTTGTAGCAATTCAGGTGGTTAAGGTAATTGGACTCTTTGGGTTAGCACGTTATTTCTTACCTTACTAGTTTTAAAAAAAGGCAAATGAAACTTTGGCCATACGTTTTTTCACGATCCTCTTTCGACTTTATAGTCCAATAATTTTTCTCTTGTGGGAGCTTGATACAGCTAAAGATAAGAATAAGTAAAAAAACTGCAAATATTTTGTAGTTTTTCATTTGCAGCATTATAAATTTTAAATACATCTGTATTTGTTAGGAGTATTGCTATGGTAGTCGAGAATGTCAGATGTTTTCAAACCAAGAAACACTTTTTGTTTGTGAAAATGATTCGTTAGAATGACAAGACTTAATATTCCAGTTAATATTGTATCTTTTGTGCGATTCATAGCACCGTAAGAGGCTGAATGGTTTTCTCTTGGATTTTCATTAAAACGATTTCTGAATAAGTTCAGGCGGGTGGTCCCATTTTGCTCCAAGCCAAAGTGTTCATTAGGAGACAACCGACAACGCGAAATTCGGACGTTGCTTGCGTATGGCGAAGAGTCGGTTTCTCAAAATCAGTGAAGTTGTTTTTATCTCAGTAGGAAAGACTCAATGTTCGTAAGGACTGAAAAATTGGAAGATACCATGTTCAATTTGCTTTTGCTGATAAATTTATTCAACCTGGTATTTTTGGCAAAAGCGGTTAACGTGACAAGGTAAGTTACGCTTTCCAGCGATGAAAGTAATGTAGGTTAGCTAATTCCACACGTAACGGTGTGAAGTTTGTCGGAACCACTAGACCCATAGCCCAAACAGCTTTTGCGGCTGTTAGCGGCTGTTAGCGGCTGTTCACTATGAAGACTTTTTACATGTGGACAGACGCCGTGACGCGTAAATCATGCGATTAATTAAGCTTTTCCGAAGTTGTATGGACAGAAATATTAAATATACATTTTTTGCACTGTCTCCTTCCGCATTTTCCATATCCGCGGTGTTTACCAGCAGAGTATAAAGCACCTCTTTATAACAAAGCCACCGGAGCAAGGAATTATAATCATGGATAGTTGTAGTTCAGGACCCCAGCATAAAACATTCTTCCAGACTCACTGAATTTGCACTTGATTGTATCGGGTTCAGCACAATTCCAAATGCTCCAGTTAACTTTCTGTAGGACCAGTCTTTACAACAAGATTCACACCCCGACGAAGGACTACAATATTAGCGTTCGTAACCTCAGTTTCTAAAACTCCCTTACCGTGGCAAATTT